AGGTTAGGCTCAATATTTGAAGATATTCTTGATCTTTTACCTCCAGGCTAATTTCTCCCTTTTCGAATACAATTTTTGCTTCCAATTGTTCCAACAAGTCTCTTCCCAAAAGTGCTTTTGGGGAGTTGGGCATATATAAAAGTTTATGAATGCCCCACTGTTTTCCTAATTTATATTCTAAAGGTTTACAAAAATATGCCTTTTCACTTTGGCCAGTTGGTCCTTTCACCATGACATAATCATCTCCCATGGGCATCAAAGCTTGGTTCAGAACCAAGTATGTTGCCCCCGTATCTACCAAAAATTCTATTTCTTGTTGTGTTTTCCCTAGTTAATTATAACCAGTGGATCCGCTAGGGTAGATTCCCAAGGTCCCGTCAGTCTCCCTTCACAGGGGCTACCGTTCTTCCTGTTTGAGCCCTCTGATCCTCCTTGTTCCTTGGGCATTCCCTTTTCCAATGACCGAATTTCTTACACAAAGCGCATTGATCCTTGCCCAGTCGGGGCAAGTCTCGTCTAGGCCCTCTTCCTCTTTCTTCCTGAATAACAGCCATTAATTTCCTTTGCCCTTGCCTATATCCTTCTTCTCTGTTACTAAATACTCTCCATGCTTCATCCAACAATATTTCTAAATTCCTACTCTCTGTAGGGCGTAATTTCTGAAGTTTGCGCCTTATATCCCCTGTAGATTGACCCAAAAACAGGGAGACCAATTGTTGTATTCCTACCTCTGACCCAAGATCCAGCGGTGTATTGCGTCGCATTGCATCCCTCAATCGATCCAGGAATTCAGATGGAGACTCGGAAGGACTCTGTTTGACTGCATATAAAGCTGACCAATTTATAGTTTTGGGGATTGCCCTCTCCATTCCTTTTGTAATCCAATCCTGATACCCCTGCAATCTTTCCATATGTGCAGATCTATTAACATCCCACTTTGGGTCTTGGAGAGGGAAATATTCCTTAATGTCCCCTCCTGTGATCTTATAATGATCTTCAGCTAGGTTCCCTGCTGTTTTTAAAATCAGCTGTTTCTCTGTCTCAGTCATATATTCTAATAATAGCTGTATATCCTTCCAATCAGGGTTATGCTGTTTTACAATAAATTGGAAATGTTTAGTTACACTTACCGGATCACTCCTATAATCTTTAGCAACCTTTTTCCATTCCCCTAGGTCAGCAGTAGAAAAGGGTACTTTGATTAACATCATCCCACCATCCGGCCTCACCGCCTCTCGGAGAGGTGCTTGTAAAGCTGTTGAGGTAGTTTTCTTCCTAGTACGGGAAGATACAGGGCTGTCTGGGGGGGTTGGAGTTCTATCCGAGTCTGCATCCTGTTCCTGTGGTCGAGGGGGAGGCTTAAACAAATCAGTTAGATCTTGTCCTGGTACCTGATGAATTTTATTTGTCTTTGTACATCTTTGTCCAATACTACATGCTGAACAACACCGCCTCAGTTTACCTCTAAGCTCCTTCTTTTCTCGCTCAACTGCGAGCACCATGGGGTCCTGTGGGGGTACTATTCCACAGTCCCTTTGCCACTCCAGATGGTTTCGGAGGGTGAAAAACATGTCTGCATATGAAACTTCATCCCATTTTCTTTCTCTCCTTAAAAACAGCATTATTTGTAATAGAGTATTATAATCTGTTGACCCATTAAGTGGCCACTTAGCATCACCTTCTAACTTATATAATGGCCACCATTGATTGCAATACTTAATAAGGTTCTTTTTATTTTCCGTACCTCCGGTCCCAACAATATCTTTCCAGTGGGTAATAACACAACCCAGAGGACTCTTCCTCAATATTCCCCCTTGATTGTTTCCCATTTTATAACTTTTCCTTTTAATAAGCTTCCATGCAAATCGTTTCTTACACTTCTTTTACAGTCTTCCCCAGTTTTCCTCCCACACGTCC